CCAGCGCAAAGCCCCGGCGCTGCGCCAGCTCACCGCCTGCATGTCGGACACGGAGGACGCTGGGCACGGGAGGCGTGCGTGCCCCCTCCCCGCACACCCCCGTGCCGGCAGAAAGATTTTACTCCTGCGTATGCTTCCCGCACCCCCTCAGCCCACCTTTCCGTGTAGAACGCCTGCTGGAAATGCCGTTTTAGGCAGCAAGAAGGGGCCAGCGCCGGGTTTCTGCAGGCTGCCCCTGCTGAGCTGTCTGTGCGTGGCTACGGTGCAGGCCAGCAAAGAGGCGTCTTTAAGCATCGTCCCAGCTCGCCCAGGCTGCACACCCGCGAAGGAGCACCCACGGACAGTTGAGGTGGGGGGAGCTCTGCGTTCAGAGAGCCATCGGCCCCTCTGCCCAGGAGCGAAACCTGTCACGAGGAGTCTTTTGTCTTATGGGGATCCCGCCAATGTTTATGGCCCTAGTTTTGGCTGGGGTGGAGCTAATTTTCTTCCCAGTAGCTGCTGTGTTTTGGGTTTAGTATGAGAAGAATGTTGATAACACGCTGATGTTTTCAGTTTTTGCTCAGAAATCAAGGACTTTTTTTCAGTTTCCCATGTTCAGCTAATGAGCAGGTGCGCAGGAGCTGCGAGGGAGCACTGCCGGGCCGCCAGCCCAAGCTGGCCAATGGAGATATTCCATACCATGGATGGCATGCTCAGCATATAAATGGGGGTTCGCCGCGGGGGGCAGGTACTTTTCCATGAGTTCAGCAAGCTCTGTGAAATCCGCAAGCCCCACGAAATACGTGAGTTCCACAAGTTCTGCAATCGCTGCTTGGGGACTGGCTGCACACTCGGTCATTGCACGGTAAGAAAAATTATATTGTGTATCACTTGTTTTGCATATTTATCATTATTCCTTTCTTTGCTATCTTATTAAACTGTCTTTATCTCAACCCATGAGTTTTACTGTTTGTCCATTCCGCTCCCCATCCCACTGGGAGGGGAAAGCAGTGAGCAAGCGGCTGCATGATCCTAGTTGCTGGGTTAAACCATGACACCTGTAAACACCTGAAGGGGAGGGTGTAGAGAGGACGGAGCCAGGCTCTTTTCAGTGGTGCCCAGTGCCGGGACCAGAGGCAACGGAGACAACCCAAAACACAGCAGGTACCACCTGAGCATCAGGAAACACTTTTTTACTGTGAGGGCGACTGAGCATTGGCACAGGCGCTGCCTGGGGAAGTTGTGAAGTCTCCATCCCTGAAGACAGCAAGAAACCATCCATAGTCCTGGGCAGCGAGCTCTAGGTGGCCCTGCTTGAGCAGTGGGGTTGGACCAAAGGAGCTCCAGAGGACACTTCAGTGCCAACCATGCTGCGAGTCTGCGTGTCCTGGAGCTCTGCAGGTCACCTCTGGGGCTACGGGGGATTGCTGTCCTGGGGTGTGGGACACAGCAGGGGATGGAGGGGAAGAAGGTTTTGAGATTGCGCAGGACTTGTTCAGGGGAAGAATCAAAGGTGGGAAAAGGAAGGGTCAGAGGAGCTGTGTGTCTATGGCACAGCAACTGCCGCGGGGATGGGCGTGCGCTCGCTAGTGAAGATCAAGCTGGAGAACAGGTGAAAAAGCCTGGGAGAAGAGGGGTGTGGGGGTCTCCAAGGGCCAGCTCATGGTGTCAGAGCACCCTGAGGGTGGCTCTGGGAGAGCAGAAGGCCATGGCACCAGGGGAGTCTTGGCCAGCTGTGTGTCTGTGAGCAAGACCGTCCATACCAGTAACTGCGGTTAGGCTGCAGCCTCAAGGGCTCACCTCTCCAGCTGCCAGCAACTGGGAAAGAGGCATCACCCAGTGGCCAGCCCAGCAGCCGGAGGGATCCACCGTGTGTGTGTGTTTCTGCGCGCACACGTGTGCACACAGGCCATTGGTGCTGTGTTTGCACTAAGTGCTGTGCCTGCCCCTGATCTGCGTGGCCAGACGTGTATACGCAGTGCGTATGTGTGCTCGGCGCCTACTGGGAAGACGCCTTCAGCCTCACCAGTGGCCGGACCTGGCAGGACAGAGCTGCAGCAGCCTCCGCTCTTTGTCTGTCAGAGCTGGCGTGATACGCCACCCTCTCACACCCGCCTTCCTGCTGGAGATCTGCTGTAATTTGCACAATGCTTTAAACTCACACCAGGGTGCAGTCCGCGATTTGAAAAGGATTCAGAAAAGACTAAGTGTCTCTGAAAAGTTTTATTCTACGCCCTCAGTTTCAGAAACCTTTACACAAGCTACAGAAACCAAATCAAAGCAGCAAGTTGCAAAGTTTCCTCTTCAGGCACACAAGCAGACCTGCTTTTCATTAAATCACTTTTCCTGTGTCCAAAAGCAGGGCGTTCACTCCCTCATCTGCCCCAGATGTTGAGGGACTGAAAGGGCCCGATTTTTGGTCAATGTTGTTGAATTACTGCCAGCCACCAGCAGCGTCATACCCACACTGGAGCCTTCCCTGCTCCTCCCCACAACTGCCACCTCCTTCAACTTTGGAAACACCGTAAAGCCTCCAAGAACAAGGTGATGATTTCTGACCTGCGGGAGCATGTCTGCAAGAAAAGGCCTATTCCGTGAGTAGCAGAGCCAGCCCAGGGCAGGCAGGTGAGTTTCCATCCCGTATTTCAAGAGGGAACAGGTAAAGGGATTTGCTCACAGATATTGGCAGGTCCCAGGGATCAGCTGTTTCACCTCTCACAGCAAGGTACCCGCGGGCCTGCTTTCAAAAATGTGTCTGTAAGCCCTTAAAAAAGGAGGCCAAGCTCTCCTGAGTATCAATAAGCAACGAGGTTCTCCAGAGGCTGTTCCGTCTTCTACCTTGCTCAGATGATGCGAAGCGCTACCTCTTCCCTGTGGTTTTCAGGTTTTCCACCATGGAGGCAGGCCTTTTGGTCCTGTAGGCGGCAGTGCCTGCGATCCGGGCCCCTCTGATGGTACTGATGTACGGCAAAAGGGGAGGCTCCCGCACCACCAACGCGGTGCCCTTGGGAGTATAGGCTCGGAGCAGCAGTTTCTCTTCCGCGTGACCTGTCACTGCCACCCAGCCTGCACAGCCAAAAAAAAAAAAAAAAACCCGCCGTCAGCAAGAGAAGCCACTCATATCAGAATGGCAGTTCTGACGCAAAGTGACTGCCTCCCACGCTGGCTAGGAACCTGAGCTACCCAGCTGTGGTTTCTTCGAGAAACCAAGCTCAAAGGTGATATCCAGCCCTTTGCCAACAGAAGGCAGCACCTAAAGCCACATCTTACTCTCCCCAGACACAGCTCCTTCCCAACGAACTTCCGAGGGATGGTGGGAACTACCAAAACCACAGTAACAAAGCTTTCCAGTCCCTGGCCCTTTGCCCCTCACCTGGACAGCTGACAGCATCACAGCCGTTCCTGACGCTGTGGAATTTGTACGGCAGCCAGGGCATAAAGTATTCTAATGTGGTCATCTTGCACAAGCATGGTTGTCAATCTCCATTCCTGGAGGTTGCCAAGCCTCAGCTGGACAAAGTCATGGCTGCCCTGATTTTGTGTTGGTGACAGTCCTGCTCTGAGCAGGAAACAGGGCTTCCTCCCTTCAGAGGCCTCTTCCCATCAATGTTCCTAGGATGCAGACCCTGAAAAGCAAGCTAATGAAGAAATACTAAATTACCTGCAGAGGAAAGCTTGATATCTGCGACAGCCTCAGTGGTACCAATTCCCTTCAGTGTAACATCCTGAGGGACAAGTGGGGGGAACTCTTTCATTCGCTCTTCCCCACCCATGGGAACCTAACATCAAAACACGGAGAAAAGATTTAACAGTCAAGAGACGCTTCAGCACTCCTACCTTCAACTGCCAAGTGAGGCACAAGTGGGAATAAAGATGGTAGATCCTTGTTAGCCCAGTAAGAACTGGTTTGAATACCCTACAGGAGCTGTTTCAGGTTTGCCAAGAGCAGAAACAGGATCACATCCAGAGCAACCCAGCGGTGAGCAAAGATGGAGTGCCAGCTACAGGACCCCGCTGGTGGCTCAAGCCAGCCGCCGCGATGGGAGTGGTATCGCTTGTCCTTGATGTGTGCAGGAAGGGAGCTGCTGGGACAAGGACAGCTCACCCCATCCCCCATCAACCTGCAAGTGCTATGCAGTACGTGGCAACACCAAGGAAGAAGTCAGACTGCCAAAAGATGAAGGGATGTGCAGAGGATCCAGCAGGGAAAGACTAAGAAAGGTGCATTTTTCAGCTGCAATCTGTTCTGAAACCCCAGTCTGAAGTCTGCCATGGAAAATATCCCCGTCGCTGCCTGCGCTTTAAGGCTCTTCAAGAAAAGCCAAGCATCAGAGAGCAGAGCTCTGCAAATCTTATCAGCCTGAATGCTAGAAACAGAAGCTCTGCCGAAAGTGCACCACGTCGAGTGCTCTCTCCTAACACAGCTGCAGCCATGCACTCTGTGCAAGACCACTCCACATGCTGATCTCCACTCTCCCACGGCACAAGTCCCCCACTCCTGACATGTGCAGGTTTTCCCGCAGTTGTGCCCCAGCTGGGGTGCTTCACCAGGCGGGACGGCCTGCCTGTCTGCAGCTGAGAGCCCACAACAGCAGCTCCTCTTACCTTCAGCAACTCTCGGCCAGCATGCTTCTCATAGACGGCATCTGCATTGCTCAGGGTGGTAACGTGGACTGGCAAGAGGTTAGAAGCCACGACAGAAAACCAGGCAGGCTTTTGCCCCTGGAATAAATAACAAGAGGGTATCACTTATGATAACAGAAAAGCAGCTCTGAATTGCTCTCTCCTGCTCTGTTTCTCTCCCGCATGTTGAAAAACCATTTGACTGATGTGCCCTCCTTGTCCAAGGAGAAGTCCTTGCCTCCGTCACTGCAGAGCAGACAGGGTTTATATAAACAGGGCAGATGAGCTTCCAGGAGAGAAGCACCCACAACTTCACCATCCTGCCTCAGAGCACCCATGTGGAATACCACATCCCTGCCATCACATCTGCTCAGCACAGCCAAATCATCCAAGAGATATCTTTGCTCAAGTTTAATTCCCAAGCACAAACTCAGTGTGGTTATTTAACATGAGAGGTGATGGACATCTCCTGTCTGGTGCTGCTTCTGCTACCACTTCACATTTCTAACACACATCTCTCATCGAACCATACTTGGTTCCAAGCTGCTCCCAAGCCATGCAAAGACTGAACGTAAAGCCATTTCAGCAGGCACTCTCATTACTTGCAATATGGAAACACTTCCTGCAATATGGAAACCCAAGTGTGCCGATTCCTTCAAGTTCCTGACAGATCTAATCTGAGGCAGGGACCCCCTTACCACAGTCTGAGCACAAACGTCTTCCTTCAAGGTCTCTGGAGGATGAAGACACATGAGAGTGATACCGCAACGGGCTGAGGCAGATACGGAGGACCTTAGGGGCCCTAAATGTGCACAGCTGAGCTTGCTAGGAGCACCACTACATGGAGAACAGGCTTATAGCACGAGGCCTGACTACCAGCCCTGCCGCACTGGCTAGGCCTTGAGCCTGATTCTCTCACCAGGAGATGGTGCAAGACTTCACCATGACGTCAGGTTCCCCAGGCTGCCAACACTAGCTGCATTCTCCACAACTCCCAAGAACAGAAGTCATCCCTCACGATAACACAACCCCTAGGACAGCCCTGTGGCTGGACTGCCTGCCCTATCTATCCTCTTCATCCATGAAGAGGCCTCATCCGTGTTCCCAGGCTGGTCAGACCTCACAGTGTTTCTGCAGAGTGTTTGCTGCCAGCAACACTTCACTGGTATGGCTGTCCTACTTTGTCAGGGATGCCAATCCAGGTGCTTTCTCAAGTCCCTGACAGCTCCCAACCAACATGCCCAGTTCTCTTCCGAGAGCTTTGCCCAAGATGGTACGGATGAAGATAGGGATTTTTTCCGGCTGAGTTGCTTTCCTCACAAACAGCACTTTTTCCTGAGCGAGAGATTACTCCTCTGTACTGCCAAGATGTTTGTTGGGCCAGGGCTCTGGATTCTCACCGTAACTATGATGGAGCTCTCCTGCCATACTGGTACACTACTACTTACAGAATCCCATCCCCTTCACCTTTCTGGTTTTCTTCCAGCAGCTCAAAAGTGTCCTCAGCAAAGCATTTCTATGGTGATCTTGGAAAGCTGACTGAAACAAAGGAATAGCCATACACACATGCCCGTCCCAAAACGGGGAAAACTATGGAGAAAGTCATTATCGTGTTAGACCCGTATCTGGAAGGAACCAGCCCTTCCAGAGGTAACATCACGGGAGGTCAGCTCCACACAGCTCAGTAAAGGTGTATTGCTTGGGTTTTTTAATAAATGGAAGAAATTGGTGCGGGGGGCACACAGCGCCTTTTAAAAGTATTTTTACAGAAACCAAAATACACGCACACTTAATTGTTTCCTTGGGCAAATTCTTCAGAGAGGTCTGTGTCAGGAAAGAAAATTGCCCAGGGTGCTTTTCACTCTTGGCAGACAGTATTCATGAAACACAAAAATGAGGAAAAAATGCCTATTTTCCCCACTTAATTCTGGCACTCCCCTTCCTACCTCCCTCCCTGCCTTGTGCCTTTGTATGTTATGGAACGCACATCAAGCTGAAGGCGTTAGCATTCAAAAGCAGTCACCATTATACAACATGGAATACTGCACACAGGTAACAAGTATCAAACCTTTCAACTGCAACTCTGCATCCTAAGGCATTTTTATTTTATGCAGTGCTTTATTAACAGATTCATCATCTCAAAAGCAGCAAAAAAAGGGTCTGGGAAAGCTACCCAGAAAGACTTGTATTGTCTGGTACCGTAACAAGAGATCAAGCACCTGCTCACAAAACCCTTTCTTCCCTTACCTCTAAGTAGTCTACACGTCCCAAGGCTGCTAAAAATAAGACCATTCCCGGCTTGAGAATAAAGGTCCGTGGAACAATGCCATATGTTGGCAAAACCAGCTTTACTTCTTTGTCTGTCAGGAGATTTAAAACCTGCAAAAAAATTGTACTGCTGTAACTCATTCCAGATGTTTCAACGGGGACAATGAAATTAATATTGGTATTATGTTAACAGAGGAAGAAGGTAGAGCAGCGTGAAGAATGTCTGACAGAACAGTTCAATTCTGGTCCACACAGTAAGTGAGAAACGGGAGGAGACAGGGATGTCGCCAATCTCCATGGCAATGCAGGGTCCATAACAAAGCACACCAGCTGCCAGCAGATTTGGGAATCCTGGGTCTGGCTGGAACAAGCCCATACAAGATTTACTGTGCTTTAGCATGAGAGCAGCCACGTGCAGTACTAGAGACCACCTTCAGCTATGACACTCAAGTTACTCCACTTAATGTCACGGCGCAAAGCGCCGAATCAATACTAGCAGTGAAGCTAGTCTCAAATATCTCACTGAGCCACACTGTGAAACAACCCAAACTGAAGGATGACCAGCCTGCCATGCAGAATGGATCCCTACCCTGGGCACAGTGAAACAAGTTCTTCTCTCTGTGAGGGCTCCCAAATTCTCCTGCTGCCTGCCTTTCTCTCCTCCCTCTTCCCTTCCATCTTCTAGCTTAACCAGCAGTGCTGCACCCACAGCAGTCTGATCGCTTCCTTGGGAAGCGCTGTTCAAACCCAGCTATGAAACCACGGGCAGGCACAGCAGTTCGGGAAGCAGCGCCTTGAAGGAAATGAGCGGTCCCCAGGCTGATGGCGTCCCTTTCCTAAACACAGGGAACCGACAGCAGAAATGCTTCCAGCTGTGCCCCCCATGCATGCCACAGTCATGCAAACACAAGCCTGAAGCAGTCTGGCCATGAGGATTAATCTCGGTTCAGCATTAGAAGACCGAACTAACAAGGGCTGGTGGGAAGCCGAACCTGTAATGCTCTTCCTGTGTTCACAAGCAGACAATCTTTAGCTTGAAAGTCAGGGCAGCCTTCAGCACAGATTCTAAAAGACAAGGAGGCTTTGCCCTGCTAGCTGCAGGTTTTCTCATGTGTTTGGCAATGCTTAATCCAAAATCTGAGTTATCAGTAATCCTTTTCTAGGCTTTCCAGGAGTTTGGCTTTGGAAGGAGTCATGAGGAAGCAGCTAAAAACAAACCTCCAAGGAATACTGACAAAAATTTAATTCCATCATATGTTAACAGCCACTTTCCTTCCGTCTTCTTCCAAAACAGAAAACCCCCAAACCTGCTCGTAACTGGAATCTCCCCTGCCAAATTCTGCCACACAGACAATCTGCTTGGCCTCCAGTCAGATCGAACACTGACCGCAGGAACAAAACTCGATCTGAAACTTGGCATGTAGCTCTCCACAGGCACAGAAAGGATAATCGAGATCAGAAATGGTAGCAAGAGTTTCCAGCTGCAGGAAAGCCCATACATTTTCCACACTTACTCAGCTCCAGAAGAAGCAAAGCACATATCCAGTCTTCACCTACCAAACCAGGTCTCTACGCTGATGACTGCCTTTACACTGGCTATCAGACAGCAAAGTGCCACAGTGAAGTGAGTTACAATCTGGCAGAAAAACAGTAGTTTTCTAGTGTTCATGAAACCAGCAGTTGCACTTGAGCTCTGCAGTCTCAATACTGTTTTTGTACTTCACTCTCTTCAGAACTTTCCTATCTCCTTGCAGTTTTTAATCTTCCCAAAAAGACAATCTGCAGCTCTGCATAGATACCAAAGCAAACAAAAGTCAAAACATGACTTTTTTGGACGTGTGCACTACACAAGCACAGGCTTCAGAGCCACTGCTCTACCGAAACACTGAGGTAGGCCTGATGTACCAGAGTTATTAACAGGAACACTGCAGATCCTGTTAGCTTCAGGACAATGCCTTCTGAAGGGTTGGGTTCAATCACCCAACACTGGTTATCCTCCTAAGCTCCACCTGTTTCAGGAGGCTAGCAGAGCTAAAAAAGCACAAACTTCATTGGGTGATGCTGGCACAAACTTGCTTACAGCACTGTCACTTACTTCCCTTCATTTAGATGTTAAGAAAGTTTGATGATGCAGTCACACAGTTCCTTTGCGACGACCACAGTATGCACTACTCAGAAATGCAAGAGCATTAACACGTGAACCCTCCCCAAGTAAATACAAACTGTATTTTAACACAACTGCCCAAACCGAAAGAATCCTGACCCCAGGACCGCAGCAGAAATACCCTCCCACACACACAGCTAAGGCAGAACAGTCCTCCCAAACCCTGGTCTCCCGAAACACAGCACCACAGAGTACCTACACAGTTTTCCTTTACAATCCCTGGAGTGTCAAAACACCAGCGAGCATCCTTCACTTCGTTGTATGTAAACTCTACCCTTTCCTCTTGCTTCCTAGGCGAATATCCGGGATCTTCATCTACGCTGTAGGAGAGCACGTCAGGGTCAAAGTCAATCACGGAGCTACGCTTCTGCTGTTGAAACGTTCTTCCAACTCTTCCTGGATTAAAATGAAAGGTTTCCTGGTAACTAATTTATTAACTTGCCTTTCGTTCAGTTTGACATGTCCCCTCCTTTGCTTAAAACAGATGTACGTTGGTAATACAAAGGTGACAAAGATGCTACGTGGCTAGAAATTTGCACGTTCAAAAGCCAACATGCCAAGAAATACCTTCTATAATTCTTGCTTAGCACTCCTCAAGCCCCAAAACCTTAGCAGGGACCACAGCACAGACACCTCATTATTTCCATTTTACAGTAAAGCAGGCTGCCTTCTTATTTCAGTGCCTTAAGACTAGCCAACACATTATTTGAATTATTATAGAATTATTTGAAAATCAGAGTTATCTTCCGGCAACCTCCTCTTCTGGATACATACTAAAATGATGTACAACCCCCGTGGCCTGCAGCCAAACCGTGATTATTTGAAAATGAAAGTTGGTTTCTTCCTCTGGGAATGAGAGATGGCCTACCTACTGCAACAGCTGAAAAGTACTTGAAAGAAATACTAATGATGCTACTTACGGAGGAGCTAGAGGTTTTGCACTCTTTACTCAGGCAACAAAAACTGGTCAAAATAACTTGAGTTGAATGCAAGTTTGGAAATTTTTTTTGTTGCTACTGCAGTTCTTCCCATAATTAAATAGAAATTAGTTCTTTCAGAGTGGGAAGAAATTACTTGCCAAAACCAGCCAGATTCTACAGTAAATGAAGGAGTCAACAGTCCTTTGTGTGATCAAGTAGTATTTTCATCAGGACAGAGAGGCAATACCTTTACTCAGGCAATACTCACCCACTAAGTAGCCTTGCTTTTTAAGCTGATTAAGGTACTTTTTTTCTTCACTGCTTAGCTGATCTTCTGTTTTTGTTGCCTCCTCTTTCAGCCTCTCCTGCCTTCGGAATATCCTGTCGCATGTAGGATTAACAATTGGAAATTTCAACAGGTTCAGTGTTGTTCCTGGAAAAAAACAGAAGGCACGTTTGGGCCTCTGACTACCTGGCATATTTAAGGTCTGAGGATCAAGAAGAAAAAAAAACAACCCAACTGCTTCTCCGACTTATGGGTGAAACCCAGTAACACAAAGCTGGAGGTGGAACTACAGCTGCTCCCACAAGGTAACAGCCTCCCCAGCCAAGGTGGCAGAAACCAGGCGTCCATCCGCTTGAGATCCGCTCTTGCCTACAGTTTGATGAAACGTGTCTCAAAACCAAGCAGTGCCAAGACTGGCTTAACACACCCCAGGCAAGCCCCACCTCCCGGCGAACATTTTAGTCTCCCTAGACTGGAGAGCACCCCTAACTGACAGGGAGGTGGCCAGGCGCATGGATCGGGTACCGCACCACGGGCAGGGTGGCTCTGGTTTATGAGCCCCTCAGTGCTAGCAGACGCACAACATGCCCTGCGCACGCCTCCCACCCTTGCCGCCCCAACGACGGCGACGATTTGAAGCACAGTGAGCTCGCCGCAAACGACAGCGACGCTTCATGGTGGCAGGCGCCTGCTGGGTGACAGGTCCCCGGGCCCCGGGCTGGCAGGAGGGCCCGCGGCCGGGC